GCACTGAGAGGGATAATATGGAAAATAACGTATAATATACGAAAAAAAATCGACATTATAACGAAAACCGTTTGCGGCTTTTCTTTCACTTTAATATATATATATATATATATATATATATAGATAAATATATATATATATATATATGTAAATGTAACGAGAACGAATATATATATATATATATATATATATATATATATATAAAGAATATAAATTCAGACGTTCAAAGCATTAATTTAAAAAGAGAGCTCAATACCAAGAGTAACTCAGTAGCTATATATATATATATATATATATATATATATATATATATATATATATATATATATATATATATATATATATATATATATATATATATATATATATATATATTGTCCGATTATTTGAATATTCATTGCTGTGCGCAAGCCAATGGCGGCGTCTCACCGGAAGTCAATGGAAATGACTGCGCACATCCGATGTGTTACATCGGAAACAGTTGGACATCGCCTAACATTATGGGCCGGAAAGTTTACACGGGAATTTGCGTCGACTCTCTGAAATAGACATCAACGCCATTTTCTGCGACAAATTTGCTGACGGCGGCCCGTATTGATTCTTAAGGAGCGAGACAGTCATTACATGTATGGCATTGGCACTGAGAGACGATAATATTTAATGGAAAACGCTTCAGTCTTGTGTTATATTATTGATATTATTATTATAATTACAAACAGGGTTCCCAACAGATGTCAGGTAATTCTCATTGAAAACAGACTGACAGTAAATCTCATGTCACCATCGCATAACTCAGCGTTCTAGCAGACCCTTACCCCCACCAATGTCTGGATAGTCTCACATCTTAGACATTCTACATTTATTTGGTTTTCTTGGCTGACTAAGATAATCAAATTTCAAAGTAAGAATTCTCTATTTAAAATATTATTGTTATTGGAATATATATTCAGTTTAAATACAGGGACCGTAAAAAAAAATTGCTACACATTTTGGCTTATACTATTTTTCCAATTAACAGTTTGTGCAAGTAAATAGAAGTGGGGGCGTAGGAGAGGACGCGACCCAAAAACTGGTTGGACAATATCAAACAATGGACAGATATGACTATACGAGAATTGTTGATGGCTGCCGTTGATAGACCATTGTGTAGAAGATTCAATATGGCTTCTGAATTCGGATCCCTTCTACGATTGCAAAAGTCAAGGGGATGATGCTGATGACGATGACGATGATTTATCTATCAATTTGAAAAACATTATAATCCAAAATAGACTGAGATAGATAGACAGATAGATAGATAGATAGGCATATATATATATATATATATATATATATATATATATATATATGAATAGACTGAGATAGATACATACATACATACATACATACATATGAACAAGTATAACTATACCAGAATTGCTGAGGCTGGCGTTGATAGATAGACAGACAAATAGATAGATAGGAACAGACTGAGATAGATAGATAGATAGATAGATAGATAGATAGATAGATAGGAACAGACTGAGATAGATAGATAGATAGATAGATAGATAGATAGGAACAGACTGAGATAGATAGATAGATAGATAGATAGATAGATAGATAGATAGATAATGGAAAACTGAGATACATACATGCATACATACATACATATGGACAAGAATTACAATAGCAAAATTGCCGAGGCTGCTGTTGATAGATAGACATATATAGATAGGTAGGAACAGACTGAGATAGATAGATAGATAGATAGATAGATAGATAGATAGATAGATAGATTCGAACAGACTGAAATAGATAAATATATAGGTAGGTAGATAAATATGAACAGAATTAGATAGATAGATAGATAGATAGATAGATAGATAGATACAAACATACAAGTATGACTATATCAGAATTGCTGGTAGCTGTCGTTGATAGACTGTTTTGGAGGAGATTCAATATGGTTTCTGCACTTGGATCCACCGCTATGATTACAAAAGTCATGGGATGATGATGATGGCGATGATGATGCCAGAAACAAGCGAAAATTAACTATCCCTGTATAGATAACCATTTTAATTTCATTTTCGTGTGTGCATTTATATTTTAATTGGCAGACGTAAAAGAATATTTTGACAATATAAATACATAGAAATACGTGTGAAAATTTTACGATATTTCCAATTTGAATTTTCGGTTGAAAAATTCTGAAGTTAATGAGTGAATAAGCTCATGCCTAGTTCAATGACAGTAAAATATCTCTAGAAATTTCCCTATCATATCGTTAAATATTTGAGCTTAACAACTTTAAGAAACATACTGCAATAACAATCGTAAATATTATTTGCTGTAATTGCTATTTCAAGAATGTAATTTTTTTTAATGAGTTTCCCATTTAATGCTAGAGTTGTTTTCCTTTTCGCAGCCCCACGTTTCTTGAAAAATTCCTATAAATAACAAATCTTTTACTCTCGAAAGATATTTTTGATTATAATACCTTTCTTTTGGAGTTTTTTTTATACACAATTTCTGTATTCATATTGATTTTACCGTGGTTTTATATCCTATAATATTCATTAAGCATTTATCTTACTGAGGGATTTTGTTTTATTTCAATATTGTCAAGACATAGTGTTATTATAATTACTAGAAATACTTGAGGTTATTTCAAGGTTTTTTTATTTTAATTTTCCGAAGAAGCTTAATTTTTCAGTTACTGAATTTATAATCTCCCGGCGTGTTTTTCGACAATATCCGTAGAAATTCCCTGTCACATCATTAATTATTTGGGCTTAACAAAATTAATAAAATGTTGCAATAACATTCATGAATATGAATGCTAGTCGTTTATGTTAAGAAGTAAGGGGGTACAATTGAACATTTTTGAAACTGACAACTTTTCCATTTGAAAAAGACAGTAAAAATCTTTTTTGTTTCTTTCATTCTTTCTTTCTTCCATTTAGTAGTGTCTCTGATATGTCTTTTCTGTCTTTCCACGTGATCAAAACGGTTCATTATTCGTGAGGTATTGGAAGGGCGTAACGGTCGTGCTAAGGAAAGGTCGAGTAGAATTATAATAAGATTAAATTTATTAACCAATATTTCCTAAGAATTCCAATAAAATATTTTATTTAGCTGATTTTTAAGGTTTAAATATGTATTTTTGCCTGTTCAGTGGCAAACCTAAGAATAATTCGATAATATTGAAAAATTTACCCATTATTAAATATATGTTACCAATTATTATTTTTAAATGTTCAATATTCATTAAAATAAATCTTCGCAGGTGGCTTGATATACTACAAAATTGATAGGTTTCATTTTATATACACAAAAATACATGGATATTTAATAATGAAAAATTTCAAAGCAACGACAAACTCGTGTACACGAGACGCAAAAGCGAAAATCGCATTGCAAATCGCAAGAGTGAAAACGAGAAGTATCAAGTATGGGAAGCCGTTGGTATAAACCAATGGCTTCTGTTATGTTATTTAAGAAATTTTTCATGCAACGAAAACAGGCTATCATTATTTAGTCCGTGTATTGTGTAATATATTGAAATGTAATTGTCATCTTTGATAATGGCTTATGTAAGCCGAAAGCTTAGATAAGATTAAAACATTTATTATTATGGTGATTTCTTTTCGTCTTTCAATGATAATGTTATTAAGCTTATCAGACAATTTGAAAGAAACTTACTTAAAATAAATAGACAAAACTTGTCTATATTATTTAATAAAACATGCATCAATGAAAAATTGCTGCCTAAATACACACACACACACACACAATATATATATATATATATATATATATATATATATATAAGCTTTTATTCTTTAATGACAATAAGACGAAATTCATATCTCACAAAAAAAATTGACAATATCATCATTATAATTAACGTAACTATTAATCATGTATTTATTAAAAAACTAAGTTTGTTATGATATTGACTTGGGGTCATGACAAGTTTCGGGTCTTTCAATATCATACTTCTTCACCCAAGAGACCCTACCGGAACTATACCTATTCCGATAGGCGATCCTGAAACAAAAATCCGCCAAACGCAACAGCGGTCATATATATATAACTGCTAATGATGATACTGAAATAGGAAGTGACCACGCCCTACGTCACTTCCTCCTCAGCTAAGACAAGACAAACTGAATGCTCGTCTTTTTCCTCTGAGGTGCAACACACGGAAAGATCCACACTAGAAACACCAAGACGACGTCGAGGAACAGGTTAAAATAAAAACAAAAGCAAACGACTCTCCCCTCAAACGGCGACCTTGGTCATCCCTCCAAATATTTCCAATCAAGTCTTAAGGAAAATGGAAAAAGAACATTTGAAAATGAAAACGATCGATCACATTTACTCAGAATCAAAAAGAGGCAGTTGAAATTTTCTGACCTCATGATGACGAAGGAGGACTTAAAAAATTTGGCATATCGAAGCGAAGGCAAAAGTGACAGCGAGAGGCGGTGTGTCACTCACTTGACACCATTGCTTATAGATAAGAAAGAGTAGGGAATTTGTGGTGAGCCATGACTGACCATGTCTTGAAGTGACTCGACTCATAAAAGTTGTTGTTCATTAGCTCTGGTCTACTCAGCATTTATTTTGAGAACTTAGAAGGCAATTTCTTGCCTGCCTATCATTATATGGAGTTGAATGCCATGTCTATCATAGTTGCTTTCACATTCCGGGCAGATAGGAGTTTCAGTGTTGATGCCATACCAGTTACTGGGACGGAAAGAAAACTGTTAAGCGTCCGATTGTGTTGGTGACAGAATAAGAAGAATTAAAAAAGAAAAAGTAAAAAAAAAAAAAAAAAAAATGACGTCGGTCGAAACATTTCGAAAAATGACATCAAGCTTGACGTCGTACATGTTGCCAAATGTCGCAATGATTTGGATACTGGAACCCAGTTGAATAAATAAAATATAAACACACTTTAGCTGTCAGATTGGTTGTCAGCAGCGCATTTTCAAAGAGAGACGTCTAACATGTACATGCAAAAAGATTCAGTCGATTCGTCTAATATACATCTTTCTTTCTTTCTTTCAGCCATCTATCTATCTATCTATCTATCTATCTATCTATCTCCCAGTCGTTCTTTCTTTCTTTATTTATTTCTTTCTTTCTTTCTTTCTTTCTTTCTCAGTTTGTTCATTATCTATCTATCTATCTATCTATCTATCTATTGCAGTTTTTTCATCTGCCTTGAGTGCAGTCTATTCATATCTATCTATCTATCTATCTATCTATCTATTCATATCTATCTATCTATCTATTCTATCTATCTATCTATCTATTGCAGTTTTTTCATCTGCCTTGAGTGCAGTCTATTCATATCTATCTATCTATCTATCTATCTATCTATTGCAGTCTTTTCATTTGCCTTGAGTGCAGTCTATTCATATCTATCTATCTATCTATCTATCTATCTATCTATCTATCTATCTATCTTATCC